GAAAAGGGGGGGGGGCGTTGTCGATTATAATGCAGTTCACCCTGCTCTGCAGCTTCTCCAGGTCTGCTGCGCCACGCGGATCGATACCGCCACTAATCAGATTCTCCCAAGTAAATCCGTCTGCTGATTTTTTTTTTCTTTTTTTTTTTTTTAAATTTGCTAAATAAATCAGGGAGCTCTACGCCCTGAGAACAAGGTGGCAGGAACAGCGTCGGTAGTGAGTCTGCTCTTGTGGGCACGGAGGTGTCGAGAGCTTTGGCTCCCAACCCCGTGGCGATGCCCCTTAGCTTCTGGGCAGCCCTCCACTGAGGTTTGGGGTGGCATCTGGGTGGTATTGTGCCATTTTGCTTTGTTCCAGCTCTTGACACCCTCAAGTTGAAGCGGGGGCTGGCCCCATCCAAAGATTTCAAGCTCCAGATCTCTCTTTAGCGCTTCTGGTTTGGGAATTCATTTAACTTTTGACACCGGCGAGGCTGGAAGCGGAGCGAAGCCCCCACAATGCACCGCTCCCTCCTTGCAGCTTCCTTTCATATAAGAGAAAAAAAAAAAATCTCTCTTTAAATCACAGTCTCCAGCTAAAAATAAAACTTGCTTTTAGTTTAATAGGAGGACGGGTTGGGTTTCTAGCAGAGGAACCGAGCGGCACAACAGCATCAGTTTCTTGCTCCTCTTGATTTCTCATGTTAAGAGTGTTCCTGGATATTGAAATTGGAGGGCCAGAGCCCCCAGGGATGGGGTGGGTTTGTCACCCCCCCAGTGAAATGAGCTCATTGTAAAGCCCAAGAGAGTGGGCTCTTCCTTCAGTGCTGTTTCAGCTCTGGATACTTGCTTTTAATGGCATCGCTGGTTCTTGGGTTCTTTTTGATGTTTTATTCTCAAGCTGCTTTTTTTTTTTTGGCAACTTTGAGTAGCTCTTCTTTTTTTGCTGCTGCTGATACCCAGTGTAACTGGGAGTCCTTCACATCCAAGCTGGCCAAAACACGCTCTTATAAACACTGGGGGTTTTTTTGCCTAGAATCAAATGTTGAGAAACATATTTTGGTGTTTTCTTGTTCACTAAAATAGATACTTGTGCCGTTTTGCCCTGTGGTAGCAATAAACAAACCCGGGAGCATCCGGGCAAATTCTAGCCAAAGAATTGGGCAGAGCAAGGCAATGCAGCTGGACCTGCTTTGAGTAAAAAAGACTATTTATTTTTTTCCAAATTTTGCTTTAAGGTTCTGTTTTGCTCATCCTGTTGTGGTGGTTGATAAGGTCCCACCTGAAGGCAGGTCCCACTGTGCTGGGGAAATCATAGAATCATAGAATTGCCCAGGCCAGAAGGGACCTCCAAAGGCCATCTAGTCCGACCCCCCCGCAGTCAGCAGGGACACCCCCAACTAGACCAGGTTGCCCAGGGCCTCATCGAGCCTCTCCTTGAATATCTCCAGGGATGGGGCCTCAACCACCTCCCTGGGCAACCTGTTCCAGTGCTCCACCACCCTCACAGTGAAGAACCCTCTCCTAATCATAGAATCATAGAATCATAGAATGGTCTGGGTTGGAAGAGACCCTTGGGATCA